CAATCACCAACTCTTTATTGATTCACAAGCACATCTACCACATTTATAATGCATCATAGACACAGAAAAAACAAAAGCATTTACTGAATATCATTGCATTTATAACTACTATTTACATCAACATTTAGAAGTTGTACCTCATGAGATAAAAAGTTAACCACACTATGCATATAGAGCATGAGACTATGCACTAGAGAGATCCTTTAAAGCAACTATGTAAATATGTGGCCTAAACCAAGATCCATTAAGGACAATATTTAAGAGGTAGCAATATCCAAGCGCTAAGATGCACTGCTAACACACAAAATGAATGTGCACTTTGTACTTAATATAATGCATTACCTTGATGCAATATGTAACTGCTAAAAATGCACTACATTAGATAGGAATTTTCTAAATGCAGAATTTTTTGAGGGCAACACTCAAGAATTAGCAATATTTAATCCTTATGATGCATTACGAACATCTAATTGAGGGCTAGCAGCATCAAATCAATTCCAAAGATGAACTGCAAACATTTTGTGTTGCATCAATTCTCAAACTCAAAATTGAAAGTTTAATTCTAAACAGAATCATGAAATTTAATTTATAAAATTATTCAATTTAGATTTTTCATTTCAGAATTATGAATGTAAAATTGAGTAATATTATCAAAAGGGTGATTTATTAATTCATCTTGAATTGCAAAGAAATCATGTAGAAATAACATAAATACATTAAAAAATTAAATAAAAAACTTACATGTAGGGGAGACAACGGCCAAATGAATCAAGAAGACTAGATCCAACAACTTAATAATTCATCCTAAAAAATGAGATCCTAATCTTCCGGAACTCGTTGCTGCTCTTCTTAATCCCTTTGTAATTGTTGTTGCTTGGGGGAGACTCCCCTCATTACTTGTTTAGACTGATAAAATCCCTCTCGTTCTTGGGATCTGGGAAGAAGAAACAACTGGGCAAGAACACCTGTGTGCGTTGATTTCGCCAATTATGCGCTGAAAGATAGAAATTGATTTATTGGGGAGAAATCAGGATCAAATCAATATGCTGCGGAAAGATTCAACGCATTAGAGAAGAGAGAGAAAGAGGGCAGGCGAAAATACTAAATAGACCCTGAGCTATTTAAGGTGGAAGCATCAGATCGAACGCACCATATTCATTCTTATTTTTTTCGTAAGATCTCACACACACACACACACACACACAAACACACACACACACATAATTTGTTTAAAATGCAAGTGTTAACATGAACTTAATTTGTTTAAAATCAAAGTCATAACCCGTTCGATCGACCCAAACCGAATGATAATGGTGATGAACATATAGTTCTCTGCTTGAACCCGCATTGACCCGAACATGAAGTAGTCTGAACCCAAAGTAACCTGAAATTTTTAAAAATGAAGTCATAAGTTGTTGGGCCAACCCAAACCCAATTATAAGCTGGGGTGTTAATATTCCGTACCTTACGTCTTATTCAAGTGAATATGATGATCTTGCAAATATGTAACCTGTTTTACATTATGACAAGTCAAACAAATATCATTTCTTTAGTTAATTTGAGACTCAACAGGTGTGAAAGTGAAACATATATCGAAACACTCCCTTTGAACCATATTAAACTTCGCATTTTTTTTCACGGAGTTTAACAGAAGTTGAAAAAAAAGTGAAAATGTACGCAGAGAAGAGAAAATAATGTCCAGTCAATGCTTTCCTTAAATAGAATGGAAACTTTATTTTAGGACAAACGAAAAAAGAAAGTAAGTTTTTTTGGGAGTATAAGCAAACATAAACATCGCTACAAAAAAAAGATTCAAACTTTAGCCTCCTGGTTTTGAAGACCAGCCTTTAGAGAGTATGTAAATATCCAAAATGGACAGGCACACAGCCAAGAATATGAAGCCTACTGCTGTTTTCTTAACCACAATGAATTCAAAACCAGATTGATGATTTGATGCCCCAAAAAACAAAAGATAGACC